CCTCACACGTCCACCCCTCTCACACGTCCACCCCCTCACACGTCCACCCCTCACACGTCCACCTCTCACACGTCCACCCCTCACACACATCCACCCCTCACACGTCCACCCTCTCACATGTCCACCCCTCACACCCGTTCACCCCTCACACGTCCACCTCTCTCACATGTCCACCCCCTCACACGTCCACCCCTCACACGTCCACCTCTCACACGTCCACCCCTCACACACGTCCACCCCTCACACGTCCACCCTCTCACATGTCCACCCCTCACACCCGTTCACCCCTCACACGTCCACCCCTCACACGTCCACCCCCTCACACGTCCAACCCTCACACGTCCACCCCCTCACACGCCCTTCGTGCCATCCAGCCATCATCTCTGTTGGAGTAAAGAGCCACGCAGGTCATTTCTTTGAGTCACTGTTAGGTGCAGCTAAGTCAGCCCTGACTCCAGGGATGCGACGCAGGGGTGGGGATTCTGTCCCTCCCAGGCTGTTCTCACAGCACGGTCAGGGGGTGACGGCAGCTGGGGAGGCCAGTTCTGACTCATGGGGCCCCAGGAGCCAGAACAGGCCTGCCTCGGCGGGACTTCTACGCAGCAGCCATCACAGGGGAGAGCGCCCCGCCTCCCTGTGAGCCCTGGACGCTGAGATCATCAGTACACCGGAAGCCTGTTCAGACACAGGTTTCTGTTGTCACCCTGTGATGACGCGGCAGAGACATGACATGACGAACCACGCGCCCCTGGAAGACAGTGAAAGGTTCCCTCTCTTGCAACATGCATTTAAGCAGCAAAGGGACTTTCCTTCCTTCCACGCAGAACCCTGTCCCCTTCAGCACGTGGCCGCTGGGCTCTCAGGCTGCTGGCCCTTCACTAGGCTCACACTCAGGGCCCCTGAAGCATGGATGGAGTGACTGGCCCAGCCGTCAGTGGGCGGCTCTGTGCTGCTGGAGACACAGCATGGGACAAGGGTCAGGCGACCAGGTGGAGAGCCAGCGTGGCCGGCGGGGCACTTACCACATGGCGTGCATGTACGTGGGGGGCAGGCGCGGGCTGCTCACAGGCGTGCAGTTGTACGACCTCATGATCCTCTCCGCCAACAGGAAATTCCGGAACAGGCTGGCCACCAGCAAGTCCTGCCGGAAGAGCTTCTGGAAGAGATCTAAGGGCAGCGAGAGACAAGGTCCTTGTGACGCTGGCCCAGCACAGCCTCCAAGGGGGCAGTGGCCAAGGGATCAAACCTCGGCCCGTGCTCAACACTGCTGGAGGCACACTTGTCTCTGTGCACAGGTGCGTGGCACATGTTTGTGTGCATGTGTGTGGCACACGTCTGTACGTGTGCGTGGCACACACCTGTGTGTACGTGCGTGACACATGGCTATATTAATGTGCATGGCACACGTCTGTGTGCACGTGTGTCACATATCTGTGTGGATGCATGTGCGTGGCACACATGTCTGTATGTACATGTGTGTAAGATATATCCACCTAGCCCTGAGCTACCAGGCCTCCCCAACCAACCAGTAAACAAAACAAAACACGCCCATCATGAGCACTGACTTGGCTTGGACAAACTTGGGGAGGCCCCTGAGCCCTGAACACTCCGAGAAGCTGCAGGGTGTGCAGCCTGGGCAGCAGCAGCGAACAGACATTCCTGGTCTCTCTGCCCACTCCTGCTGGGTGTACTCACTGCCTCCTCACAGAAGCCACGCGTGTTCCTCCTCCTCCCTTGCCCACCAGGCCGTGGGGAAGGGGGCCCTCCTCACCTCGGGGGAGCACGTTCCAGGCGATGGTGTCCGTGATGGCCGTGAAGATCCAGTTGAGCTCACCCAGGGGTGTCCGCCGGTCATTCAGGCGCCCAGGGATCCTGTAAGACAAGTGCTCACATTAGTGATGTTGGAGCCACCATGGGCTAGTGCAGGACACGGGCGGGGGACGGACGGCCAGGGTGAGGCCCAGATCACAGAGCAGGAGAGGATGGGGAGGACAGGAGGACAGGGGAGGACAGGAGGACAGGAGAGGACAGGGAGGCCAGGGGAGGCCAGGAGGACAGGACAGGGGAGGGTGAGGCTGTGGGGGAAGACAATGGGAAGAAGAAGGAGAGAATGAGGCTCAGTTGCGGGGAGGAGAGGGAGGCTCAGATCACAGAGGAGGGGGGAGCAGCGAGGAGAGGGTAAGGCTCAGACGCAGGGAGAGAAGGGAAGGAAGGCTCAGATCATAGAAGAGGGAAGAACGGAAAAGGAGGAGTGGGGAGGAGAGGGCGAGACTCAGCTGCGGAGGAGGGAAGAGGGTTAGATGGGGAGGAGGGAGGAAGCTCAGCTGGGGAGGAGGGAGGAGGAGGGAGGGCCAGATGGGGAGGAGGGAGGAGAGGAAGCAGCTCAGTGGGGTGAGGGGCTGGCACGCAGTGGGCTTCTCTGCCCTTTTGGCTATTCTCACATTCACACCTTTTTAAGGGCAAGAATGCCTCCACCCCCACGGTGAAGCTTGATTTCCGCCTTCACCTCACCCTCCGTCTATGGACCTGTTCCCTCTGGAGCCCCAGGATATACGGGTCAACCCTGGGGAGGGAACGAGAGCTCTGAGTGTGGGCTCTGCAAGGTCACAGGGCACTGCCGGGAAGGAGCACTGATTTGTTCAGAATCCGGAGTGCTGGTTCCTGCGGTGGCAAGCTTTGATGGATGACTAATTCCCACAAGGCCACGTTCGACGGCACTGTGTGGATGTCCCTGGGGGCTGCAGTAAGTGGGCTTCTCAGCATAAAGAAGAATGCAAAGAAGTATGTCTGCTCACACGTGTTTTCTCTGACAGGACATCCATCCAGATGTTTCCCGTTTCCTCAAGAGTGTTCGGTGATGAGAGAGCAGCAGAGGAGAGAGGAGACCAGCAGATGACCTAAGGCCACACTTGGCTCGAGAACGCCAGACCCCTTCCAAGCTCCAGAGGAATGCTCAACTCAAGGGGACACTCAGTCTACCTCGCATGGAGGCTGTGCACGCCAGGCCGGGGACAAGCTGGAAGCCATGTGACCTGGTTGTGTGTGGTGTGATGCTGGTTGCCCACTGGGCAGCACTGCAAACCCATGAAAGGAGTCGTGGGTCACCAGGCGCAGTGAGGGTCAGCTCCAAGCACTGCAGCCTCATGGGTAGGGTGTGTGTGGGGGGTCTAACTTGTCCGTATGGGACACACATGCACTGGAGACCTGGAAGGGGAAAGGGCACTGCTCAGAGACATCAGAGGGGCCAATGACCAAAGCCGCAGGATGGGGCAAGGATTTGCAGAGCAGCTGCAGAGAAGCACCCAGGCACTTCTTTTCAGCGACAGCTGGTGACATGGGAAATGTGTGCTCTGTAATGTTAAGAAGCAAACACTGTATGACTGGTGGGGCAAAATGAAGGAATTGGCCGCGATCTGAAAAGTCAGTAGTTTGGATCCACTCTCCGCTTTGGGAGGAGGATGTTTCTGTAAAGACGAGACTTAGGTGAGGCTGCGGGGTGGGCAGCTGACATGGCAGGAACGAGCAGGGATGTGCTAGAACAGATGCCAGGCTGACAGCCGCCTGGGGAAGGACACCCCACAAATAGCTAGCAGAAACTCAGTAAAGGAATTCCAGCACTCAGGGGCTGAGGGGCTCTTGGAGAAGCATACCCAGACAAACAGGAGCTGAGGGACCCCCGGTTCAGCACACCCCAAAACAGGGGCTGAGGGACCCCAGTTCACCACACCCCAACACATAGGTGCTGAGGGACCCCCGGTTCAGCACACCCCAAAACAGGGGCTGAGGGACCCCAGTTCACCACACCCCAACACATAGGTGCTGAGGGACCCCCGGTTCAGCACACCCCAGCACAGGCACTGAGGGACCCCCGGTTCACCACACCCCAGCACAGGGGCCAAGGGACCCCCGGTGATGCACGCCCCAGCACACAGGAGCTGTCTTAGCTCGGCCCCCAGGCCCTGGGTCCAGCGATGAAAAGCACAGACTGGGGAGGGCGCTGCTCCTGGCGTGGCGGGAGGGTGGCAAGCTCCCACCTTGGCCAGTGTTGGTAAGTGAGGCACAGCCCAGCTTGGCCATCTGAATGTCATCCTCGTACGACAATGTCTGAAGAAATGCATACCTGTAACCACCCTGAGGTCTGAGCCACTGACCACCTCCAATTCACTGACCTCCAGCACTCTGCCCCTGGGGGGGGGCATAAATGGCAGAACCCTGTGTAGAAGTTGATTGACTGATCAACCCACCAATCACTCAGCACCCAGGACAAGACTCCTTCTAGCAAGTGGCCTCAGGAACCTGGGCTGAGAGGGGTGGTGGCGGTGGCCGTTTTTCACGCCATCTGTCCAGACAGCGGCCACTTCAGGGACGACTTCTCCACTTCCTTTACAGAATCTGATCTGAGGGGGCATCTGAAGCCCCCAAAGATGGCTTCCCATGGCTGACACACAGGGGACCAGCTCAGCCGGCAGAAAGACCACATCTCATTTGTAAAGCTTCCTCAAATCCTCTAAACACTTTTGTTAGTCAGCTAAGTGCTTTCTAAAAACCTTCTCAGTGTTCATCGGTCAGTGGGAGACCAGAGCTGCTCTCGTGTGCCAGCAGGGGGGCACGTGGCTGAGGTGCTGCACAGCCTTCAGCAGGGCATCAAGGCTAAGAGGGATGAGGAAGAGAGGCCTGGCCGTCATACGGTCCAATCCATTACTGCTCCGGGTACGGCAGGGCTTCATTCCCTGGTGCCTGGTAACACTGTGCTCTGGGGCTGCATTCACAGCAGTGCATGACAGGGACAAGGTGGCTGTTAACAGGACAAAGTGCTGGGTGTAGGTCACCAACTGGAAGCTGAGTGCTGGCGCCAGCTGCACCGGAGCTGACGGATCACAACATCGTGTCTGAGTCACTTGGGCCTCACGCGCAAGACAGAGTCGAGAATAGAACGGCCACACTTGACAGCGGGGATGGCAGAGGCCCAGAGATGTCTTCCCGAGAAAGCGTGCCACCCTCTCCGAGTCCTCACCGCCACTGTCTGCTCCTGATTTATTTTTATCTCCACTTGTCTGCCAGGGCCTCTTCTCCCTGCACCACTGCCACCAGCCTCCCGCGACCCTGCTGTGGCACCCGGTCGGCGCGTCCTCACGCTGACTCTGGAGACTCTTTGAGACCTGGGTTGGCGCTCCCTAAAATGCCACCTAGCGCCGTCCCCACGGGGGCTCTCCTCTGACCCCGCCCACCACCTCCACCACCTTCACAGTCAGCTCCAGGCTGCCACATGGCTGGCCTCGTCCCTGTCCCCAGCACTGTCCAGTCATTATGCAGGCTCTTTATGGCCCTAGTCCAGTCCTCACAGCTCTGGGCAGCTCAGGGCCTTTAGGAATCGAGAACGAGTCCCCCAGCTCTGTTGTTAGGTTGTCCTATCGTCCCCAGGTCAAGAGGACAGCTTGGGGCCCCTTCACAACATCCCGCCCTCCCCTCCCAGTCCTCTTCTGTCTTCACCCCACTCTCTGCAGACCCTTACGGGTCCCTTCTGTCCCCGAGGGACACAAGATCAAGCAGATGTCCATCCTGTACAGCCACCAGGTCTAGGATGCGGCTCCCACTCCAATCTTCTCTTTCCTGTAGTCAGACATCTAGCCCCTCGGGAACCAAGCCCACCTTGCACAGTCGGCTAGCAGCTGCCCTCCCTCAACTCTGGTCGTCACAGCGACACGCTTTCTATCCTCGGGTGGCCCTGAGGAGGCACAAGAACCTCGGAGTCATCCCTCTCCTGAATCCACAGCAGCCACCAGGGCTCTCTCCCTCCCAACACAGCAGAACTGACCGTCGCTCCATCAGCTCCTGCACATCCTGCGTGGTCCCAGCTGTCTCGTCCTCACACCTGAAGGCGACACTCTCAGGGCTCACAGCCTCTGCTCCCCAACAATCTGCATGCAGCTACCTGGCTCCCACCGCTCTCGTCTCCGTCTCTTTAGCTAAGCATACTTGTTTCCAGCACCATCAGGGATTACGGATGGTTTTTATTTTCTTTCTGCTCATCTGCCTTTAATCATATATTTATGCTGAAAGCATACTAGGCTTGAATAAAGAAAAGCAACATGAAAATAAGGCAGCCCTGTAACGTCTCCTGAAGGGGGATGACTATTTAAATATCCATGACTGTATAAACTCAGATCACCGCACATGAAATTCAATTAATGCTGGGCACACAGCACCTCCTTTTCCCTGAACACCTTCCATGAGCATGGGGTACAGGGAGCCTCGAACTCGTCATCAACAGACAGAGAACAGTGAGACGCAAACCTAGCTGTTTCTTCTTCAGGTAACTCTCGTGAATACCCAGGTCACTCATAGTAATTAGACAATCGTTAAGACAAAGATACTTATGTACCGCAGGCTGGTGACTCAGCCCGCAAGGGACAGAAGTCCAAGGAACTGTCCACGGCGTCAGTGAAGGGAATTTTTGAAGATGCACGTGTGTGCACGCAGCAATCAGGAAATCAAATGGTGTGCTCTGCTGTGTGAACCTGCGGCGCACAACCTTTTCAAACGCTACAAAGCAAAGATGCTCCTGTGAGAACTAAGGCAGGTCTGACACACAGTGGTATTTCCGATTACTTCACGTGCACACAAAAGCCGACAATGAACAAGGAAGACTGAAGACAAACTGACGTCTATGAATTACGGCGTCGGCAGAGTGTACCAGGAAATACTGGAGGAACACACGCTCCCGAAGGAGGTGGAGGTGAGACTCTGCACACGTCACAAGGAGGGTCCAGTCCCTGGAGAAGGGCATTGTGCTTGAGGAAGCAGAGGGTCCGTGGAACAGGAAGGCCCTCACCTAGCTGGGCCACACGGCGGCTTGGTGACTGGGTCCCACC